ATATATATATATATATATATATATAAATAAGTCTGTGTACAAAACCATGGGTTACATGCAGATTTACTCAGATACAGGGACTACAGAAAAACAAAGACTCTTTTATTGTGTGTGTGTGTGAAGTGTGAATTGAAGATAACGTGAAGTCCTTTGAAACCAAACCTACAAAGGTGTAGGTAGTTTATCTTTTTCTGCTTTTTGGTGAGATTCATTTTACTGCTTCATTGATTCACATGCTTCATGCGTTTTCTTGTTTTAATTTCTGGTATCTATCTTCATTTTGGAGAGAAACGGTTGTCCAAAATATCATATTATCCTCTCTTTTTTAGAAGAAAAGAAGTAAAAGGAAACCATTTTGAGTATACCCTTTTGTGCAAAAGAGAAATCTCACTGGTGCAGTTTCATGTTTTGTTCTTTTTCTGTGATTTGTTCTCTTGTTCTTCCCTTGTGATCTCTTGAAAAAGCATTCTGGGTGGGTTGGTTTGGTTGGTCTTCCTTGTGGAGTTGAAAAAAGTCCAAGAAAAGAAACACGCGTCACAGTACAGAGGGGACACTTTGCTTCTTTTATATACAAAATTCTGAGTTTGTCATGCATTAGTCTTTGACTACGGATGAGTTGGAGGCAGAGTTAAAGGGTTTGAAGTTACAACATTAATTTACATTTATTACTATGTTGTTGGTCGGTGGTTGCCACCCTAATTCCAGGTAGAAAAATGACAATATATATAAATTGAAGTAAATGTTCTGATATGCAGTAGCAGCATGGAAGCAATTGAATTTGGTTTATCGAATGGCACAGCTACAGGTATTCATTTCTCTTGAAATTTTAGTTTATAAACACAGCTTTATCATTGAAATGCAGCACCATTTCTTCAAGATTTGTGATTGGCCAAATACCCTTTTATTCACATGATATTTTTCTTATATTATATTCCTTCTCTTTTTTTAACTCGGAAATCACATTGTTATGTCTGCTGACAAAATGTGTGATCTGAATTAGGAAGCAGAGATGCAGAACTGCATGCCTTGCAGAAAGACCATGACGAGAAGAGTTTAAAAATTCAAGAGCTGAAGAAACAGATTGAATTGACGAAGTGTCGCTTGGAAAAGAAGAAGAAAGAGATTAGTGAGGAGAAAATGGGAGGTTTCAATAGCCTGAGCAAGAAATATAACAGTCTGAGAGAGGAATACAATGCAATGTTAGCTGGGAAATTAAGGAAATCAAAGTAACTCTCAAATTATTAAGCCTAGCTAAAAATTTGTTAGTTTCATATATATTTGATCAAAACTATGAATATATCTAATTAAACTTATGTTTCTCAATGCTGCTTCTATTTTCTGTTTCAAGAAATGATACTAATACTTTGCTTCTATTAAAGGGAGAAGAAAAGAGAAAATAAAAGATAGTAAAATATGAGAGAGATTGCTCTGTGGCATAAAATAAATACACGTTGGTAGTATATGAGATTTATCTAAATACAAAAAAAAATGAAAAAAATCATCAAAAATATATTTAAAAAGGTTGAAAAAATTAGGGAATAAAGTTCACAAAAACAGGGTGGGAATAGCAGAGCTTTCAGCTGGACTTTTTTTAGCTTTATAACTTTTATGAAGTTATTATTAATAATAAAAGGTATAACAAAACTTTAAAATAAAACTAAAACAATATTTAGAATCAGTAAACTACTTCATTGTTCTAAATCAATGTAATAAATTTATTAATTTAATATATATATATATATATATATATATATATATATAAAGTTGAAATTTTTATTATTATATTAGTCTTTTATTTCAGTGAACATGTTCACGTCTAATTGTGAGACACCGACACAAATTTCAATAGATTGAATCTAAAAACCTATTTTAATTTCGACTTATGATGTAATGAATTTTGCGTGTTATGTGGAAAATACGAAATGATCATAACAAAAAGGGCATTTAATTAGTCGAGTTTGAGTCAAATTCTATAGACTTGAAAAAAGTTGCAAAGTTCTAGTTTGGGATAAAAATCTTCAATTTGGATAATAAGATACTAGTAGAAACCAACTTTGTAAGACTTGTTCTTTGTTCTAATCAGGTTTAAAAAAATATAAATTTAATTTTATAGTAAAAAAATTTCAAATTCAAGAACCCTTTTTTTAAGTAAATGAGTCCAACATATATCTTAGTTTAATTTCTGTGATTGATCATGTCACGTTATTTCTTAAGAAGACTATAGGGTTTTAAATTTTATTCAATGTCACACTCTAAGCTATTAAACTTATGATAAAATGTAGTATTTAGTATCAATATAAAATTGTGATTAATTTTATATTACATTACATTTGTTTTTTTCTTTTCAAAATTATCTATTTGTTGTAAAGCTTATTCAAAGGAGTCAAGAACATACACTTTCAATGGTGGTGGAACCGTTGACGAACGCCGTCACCATCATTTTGTCGCATTCTCGTTTATTTCCGACGTTGATGGCAAAAAGGAAAGTCACAGAAACACAAGGAATTGAAACATCAACATAATTTTGAGACATTTATTAATAATTAGGTTTAGGAACATCATGACATGCACTTATATATATCTCGTACATCGTCGGTGCATATTATTATTATACTATTATTAGACAGATTTATTCTGATGATTATTGTGATAACACAATCAGTAACTGATGCTGTTTCAATTGAAATTGACTTGGTACTTGGGTGATTTATCAGGCCTGAAGAGACCAAAGTGTCTCTCAGTTTCTGCACCATTCTTCTGGTTTTCATCAAACATGGCAAAGAGATAAGTCTCTATGGGTCCATCGGGCCTCTTTGGGGTGCCACCCTTGACATGATTAATCAAATTCCTGTAATATGTTCCAGCGTTTTCAACACTGGCTCCAGCATCACCTTCCGATGGCCACCCACTCTCAGACACGACAATCTTAACATTAGGTTGTCCTATTTTCTCAAGAGCTGCGTACAAAGAATCCAACGACGCATCAAACAGGTTCTGGTACCCAACTTCGTTGTTGCCTTGTTTGGTAAACAAGGCGTAATCAAGACCGATGCTTTGCTGGTTGTCGACGTAGGCGAAGTAAGGGTACACGTTTGCAAGAAGTGGGGCACCGTTTTGGGCTAAAAAGTTCACGATCGGAGTTATGTATGAACTTGCACCGTCGCTGAAAACGCCGTCGTTTGGTGGGTAGGAGTTGCCCAGTAGAGTGGTGTCTATTGCGGTGGAGGCTTTGATTTGGCCTTGCAGATTGGCTGAAGAAATTGCGTTGTGAATGTTTTGAAGTGCTGGAAGAACTGAGCCTGCTAAAGCATCAGCAGGATGAACTTCGTTGCCGACGGCAATGTACTTGAATTTGACGTCTCCGGCATAGGCTTTCACGTACTTGTTGACCCAATCTGAGGCACCTCCGGCGTCGGTGACAGATTGAAGTTGGTCATTTGGAACACCGAGTATCACTTCTATGTTTGAACCTCTGAGGGCTTGAAGGGCACCTTCGTCTGGATAGTATAAACGGATTTTGCCTATTCCGTTTGATTTGTAGAGATCCACCACTTCCTGCCTTGTTGGTAGATCGTTTCCGTTTGCTCCGTAACACACGCCGACGGATTCTGCCCCTGCATCATCACACGTTGATGTTGTACCAAATTAAGTAACTATGCATAAGGAGTGCACTTGATAAAAATTACCACTTGATTTGCAACTCAAAATTTAAATTAGAAATTCAGATACACAAATTTTTACATTTGATATTATCTTTCTTTATCTTTTCTTTTCCAGAAAAATTTAATCTTTTGTTACCATTTTATCTTTGTAATATATGTTAAATGAACGTTGTGTTACTCTGCCATTACTTAATCTAAATATATATGTATGTCACTTACATATTGGGAAAAAAATGTTCATCAATTGCTAGATTAAAGATCAACATTACCATGACACACTTTTACTCATTTGACATAAAATGTGAAAATAAAATGGTCATAAAAGTGTAAATTTTTGTATTTTAAAAAAAAAGAAAGTAAAAAATAAGTAAGGATAATTTTAAATGAATGTAAAAAATTTAGGTGTCAAAGAATATTTTTTCTAGATTAAATAAAAGAAAAAGTTATGATATAAAACCTATTTTTATATTCATTTGACACACAGGGTAAAATCATTATAAAAAAATAATTTGCATATCTTTTTCAAGAAAAAAAGTAAAAAGTAGAAAAAAATAGTGTCAAATGAATATAAAAGAATGTATATCAAAAGTATCATTTTTTATGATGTAAAGGTATTTGAAGAGAAAAAATAATACTTTGACACAATTATTTTACATTCATTTGACACTAACTTTTTAGTTTTTATTTTTTTTTAATTTTTATGACTATTTTAATACGTGTCAAATAAATATAAAAATATGTTATTTTATTATTACTCTTTGAAGGTAGGATGAGAGAGAAAATATTATCATTCTAACTCACATAGACGAAACCAATATTTTTTACACTTTAATTTCGAAAAATATAATCACAAAAAAAATCAACACCCAATCAAACAATTTTAACTCACATATAAAAACTAACATCATTCTCCAATTTAAAACTTTAAGATTATAAATTTATAAACTTTTCTTTTTATATTGTTTAACTTTTTATATTTACTGATAGAACTTAACTCAAATTTAGATTCCTATAGTTCAATTTGAAATAAATATCATTCTGTATTGTTAATTTGAGACTCTCGTGAAACAAACACATACAAGAGAGTCAATTAATGAAAAGAGAAGATATGTATATATGAATGATTGAGAATTAAGAGAGAAGAAATATAAACCAGTAAGTAGCACTCCAAAGGAAGATAATACTGCAAGAAGCAGCAGCAATGTGGGAGACATGGCTCTTGAAAAATAACTTAATAAATCGATTACACTCACAAAACTATGTATAAACTAAGCTCTTCAACACTAACTGATAGGTATAATATGTTGCTCCACAATCACAGACTATTTATATAGGGAAAGTGGTGAAGAGTCGGCAGAACTTGGATCACTACATGCAAGACTTTTCGTGCTCCCGTCAATCACTCCATAGAAAAACAAAAGCGATAATTAATATTAATGTGCTATGTATTCACTTTGAATGCAATCTAATTTCCTTAAGACACAGGTTTAACTATGCTGAGTCGTCGATGGCTTTGAACATTCTTAAGAAACATACGTAAATATCTCCGAGAATGGGTCCCTTGTCATCCGTGAAACAAACGTTCCGTAGCCACAAATCAACCTCAAACGTCACTCGTTTTTGTTTCTTCTTCTTGTATCCTCAAAAATTTCATTCAAGACCTTTCCTTTGCATTCATTATACATTATCATGTTACCCCAAACAATTGTGTGTATTCATTGTTTGAATTCCAAGTACATCCTAAGTTTTATATCTAACTTAAAACATTATGGGTTTATTTTTTATATATGTAATGTTGAATCTTCTCACTTTTATATTTTTACATTTTGTACTATATGAAGTATAATTAGATACTAATACGTCAGATTGTCTTACATTTTTCACTATCCCAATAAAATATAGTCCTCCTTATAAAACATATTTAAAGTGTCGAAGTGTTTTCTGCAGGTCAACAATCTATTTGAGTGAATTGCATTCTGAGAGAGGATTGAAGATCAAAAGAGAGCAGAGCAAGAAAGGAAGACCGACCCTTAGACCAATTCAACCGAAACACATTCATTTGACATACTATATCAAATAAAAAAAATAAATTTTTATATTTTTTAAAAATATATATAAAAAAATTGTATAAAATAAATATAAATAATTTATGTGTATCAAAATATCATTGAAACAACTTCACTCGTATGGTATTGGTTTTGTGCGTTTGTAATATGTAAAGAAAAAGATATTTTCATTTAATTTGTTGACCATTGACATAATACACATATAGTTCAATAAATAAAATGACACGTATACTTGAAATTGTTAAAAAATTTATATTTTCCGTATATGTAATCAGCTAAAATAGCACTACCTATCCTGTATTATTATCATCATGTATTGACCCGTAATGTGTCATTGCCGCCTTTTGCTAAGACTTTTATACATACCGCTACGTCATTTCTTTCTTGACTGTATGTATCAATCACTTGTGTATTATACAGTAAGATTAAATTTGTTTTGAAAAGGGAAAAAATATAAATGGTGTATTTTCAAATGATTCCTTTCCCAACATATCAAATCTCTTCGCGTTAGTATGGTTGAGATCGTAGGTTTTGTATATATTCTCCTTTCCCAACATATCAAACATTCTTTGAATAAAAAAGTCACTTCTAGATCATTACTAATTTTTTATAATAAACTTTTGGAATGATTTTCAGATTGTAAAATATAAAAGAAATAACTTTCAAATCTAAAAATCTATTCCAAATTATAATTTAGAAATTACTACTACCATCAAAAAAACACTTTAGAATTCTACAATCCAACAAATTTTATATCACGTTATCCTAAAAAAAACAACGGAGGCAGGGAAACTAGATGTGTAGGTTAATTGTGTCTTTAACATACTTAAAGGAGGAGCAAAAAGAAGTCCTCGGCGATCAAATAATCACAATACTTATACCAGAATTACTCTCTCTACCACCACATATTGCTCCTTACATCTTTTTAAAAATAATTTAATTCCAAAAATACTATTTTTACTTTAATTCTTTATCTTTTTTAACTTTTTCTTAAAATCATAATCTTTTACTCTCTTATTCACTAAGTGGCACACCACACCCCCACCTCACACTTTTACTTTCTCTTTTCCTCTCTTAGTCTCCTCTTCCTTTTTTCCCGATTTTTCATCTTCTTCTTTCCCTAATTTCCCATTTTCGTCATAGTTCTCTATGAACACGTGTGTGTTGGGTGCTTTCATGTGCCTCTGTTTTGTATTAAATGAAGAAGAAGAGAAACGCGAAAGGCGACAACAAATATGGGATATCCGTAAAACACTTAAACGGATCTCGAAATCCGTCCACAAACATTAACATCTATTTACCCTTCAACAAATGTTGATATCCATCGACGGATTCCAATATCCGTTTAAGTATTCTACGGATACCCATATCCGTTTAAGGGTATCGAACTCTGTATTCTGCGAACCTTTTGCTTGGCACCACCACTGGACCACCTTCGACCACCACAATAACAAAGTTAGAGGGGAGAAGAAGCAAAAGAAATCTGATTTCTGTGGGAGTGTATAGGTGTCGGGGTGCATTGATACATTGGGTGGATGTTGATGAAGGTAAATAGGTTTTAATCACCACAAATTAAATATTTTACTAGGACAAAAAATGAATGGGGAAGTATAGGAAGTAGTGTGTGGTGGTGGAGGGAGTAAGACTCTACTTCTACTAAGCTCAAGCTCAGTACCTCTGTTTGAAAGGCCCAGTAGAATAGGTTTTGCTTCCTGCACATTCATCATTAATAAATGCACCCTCTATTAAGATTAAAATGCCTACCTTCATTACGTCCACCACCGAGGTTGCTGCCACTATTATCATAACCATCGCATAGGAAAAAGAAGATAGAAAATGCGTTACGTTCATTTTCGAAGAATTCTTTCCAAAACTTATTTCGTTTGTTCTGTAAAGTTTATTTTATAAAAAGCGTTGTAAAGTTTGTTTTGAGAATTCAATTATAAAAGACTTGTTCCAAAATATATTTCATCTGTGTTAAAAATTTTGTTCCAAAAGTTATATTTCGAAAAGCTTATTTTAAAATATGTTTTACTCATTATAAAAATCTTATTTTGAAAATTCCACTAAAAGACCCCATTCTATAAATCATGCCCCAGAAATATTATAAAATTCTATATCTTTTGGTAGCATTTTAAAAAATTCTATATCTTAAAAATCATGCTCCATTTTTCTATAAGTTAATTAATTATATTTTGGTAGCAGTCGCATTTAATGTAGGTGGTTGAATGATAGGTAAATAGTGTGTATCATTCAAAGTGTCACATAATAAGTAATAATACTATCTAATCTAAAAAGACATGTTGTCAACAAATTAGTAGTTTTTGAGTACTTAAGAAATAGTTAGAGTTACAAAAGTGTTTGTGAGATAGAGAGTTTGAATAAGATGACTAACCTTGTAAATAATACATTCATAGTTAACAAAAGTCGTAAAATATAACAACAAGAGTCTATATATGAAAGGGCTTCTTTGGTTTCCAACAAGTATGTGAAATAGTTAAAAATGGACACCAAAAACTAGTAAGCATCGAAGAATTGTCAAATGTCTAGTTTTATTATGCTTAAAACATCACAAGCGAAAGACAAAACAACTTTGTAAGTGTTGTATCGAATTGTCGATGGGTTTGACTTTGAGAATATAGCAAATGCTAAGTCTTCAAAATAAACATGAGATATATTAGAAAATATATAAATGGGATAATCGAATAAAAAAATGTCAGTTTCAAAATTTCAAAAGTGAACTTAAAAGCAAAAGAATGAAAGGAGTTGAAAGAGCGATAATAAATCTCTAGTAGAGACTATGATGAACCGACTTTGTAGAAATAGAGAAATATTATTTAGTAGAAGATTTTGAAAATGATATGTATAATCAAATTAATAAAAAATATTATTTTAAAATTGAATTTGACTTTTGAGAAACTAATTGGAACTACAAATGTATTAATGCATTAAAATATAAAATAGATGTATAATAAGAAATATTTTAGAATGAGTCTAGTATACGAGTTTAATAATAATAACTTAAGGTCATAATGAATAATACAATGATATATTCCAAATTATTATACAATGTAGTTTTTATAATAAGTAATTCAAATTTAAAATAAAGAAAATTATAATAATTTAATAATATAATTTTTCTTAAGAATACATGGATATTTAAATGTTACCTAAATATAAAAATACGAAACTGTATATGAATTTTGAGAACGACCGACTTCAACATGATCATTTCCACTCTGTCTCGACAAAGAATAGGATTACGTGCAAGCAGGATAAAATGACATGTCAAGTAAATTGACTTTCAAATAACTATTGTTGTATACATCGTTTTGATATATACCCATTAAAGACCAACACGATCGACCTTAATAAATGAATCAATATTTAATTTATAAATTTAATGTAATTGTATTCAAAATGCGGTTATTATCTTTATAAAATGCTGCGATTATTATGTATGTAATATTTATTTTTTATTATTTTTGACTTATATACTCTCTTATTGTTAGGAGAATAAATAATTTATAACTTATTTGCTTATAAATAAAACTGATACTCCTATTACTAATGAACGGATATATTTTAGTTTGAGTGTTCTTCATTTTAATTTAAGTCGATAGAGTTTTTTACATAAACACATTCAGATTTTTTATTGGAACAATATCTAATTTGTCATGATTGAATAAAATTAAATAATACGATAAAATAAAATATTTAAATGTGTATAATGTAACAAAATTAAAAAATATTGTAAGTAATCATTGTAATTATTTTCCTTATTAATAATCTTAGCTCACATAATACTGCTTTTTAAAAATTAATGTCAAATATTGTTATTAAGTTTTAGATTTAGACATTAATAGTGTGTGTATATATAATTTTTTTTCCAATAAGATATTAAAATAGGGTTTATGGATGTTGCACACTGTGAGAGGACGAACTCTTAAATGTACAATTTCTCTCTGTTTCATCTCAAAAAGTCCACAACAAAACTTTATACAATTAGAGCACACGTTTTCATATTTGTATTTTTAAAAAGAAAAGATATTGGAAGAAAAAAGAAAAATCACTAATTATTAGCAGCGATTAATTTTGAATTTAGAGTAGACATATTTTGTTGCGTTGCGTTCCAATGATTGCTGAAACCCGACGAAGAAGAATCGTCGATTCAATCACTACTCCGATGATTCCGACGCGTCTCCGGCGACGTGCTCCGTCTCACTAGGGCAGCGCCAC